CACACCCTGAGGTGGTCCTCAATATAAATAAAATTAAAATTGATATTTCATAAGACCATCAAGAGGATTCGATCACCTTTCCATACAGACAAGTTGACTCCATACCAGAAACATTTAACTTTATTTAGGATTTATTATATTCAGTCGTTCATTCTTAATATTGTCATTCGAATAAGAATGAAGAACTGAATGTCCCAAATTAAAACATTTAGCTGTGGTGAATACATTTTTGATTAAAAAATTCTGTCTTAAAGAACAGGACAATCTTTCACACAAAACCTTTGTTCAAAGTTCAGTGACACAACACCATTATAATATTTGTCTACAATAATATAATATTTAAATTAGGCTCTACATCATAAATTCATGTAAATTAGGTTAAAAATCCATCAAGTATAATTTTTATGGCCATTTCAAGGTTTTAAATGTATGAAGAGGGGTTGAGCTAAAGTTGTTTAACTTATCAACAACCTTAGTATCATCAATATGGAATCAAAGTTGATGAACTATAATTTATCAAAAAATGCATTTCATAAGACAAGTGCTAAATAAATATAGTAAGTCAAGACTGCAAATGATCATGTCCTTAATCAAGTCTTGATACCCAAAACAGAGCCAACTGACAACAGATCAGGACAGATGCACTTAAGGTAGATAATGGCCATAATGGGGTATATTACATCATTTATACAGCAACTTGCAGATTTAAGCAAAAACAATACAAAAAAAAACCCAAAAGGTTTCAAGGAAATAATTACTGATATTTTGTACAAGTAAATAACCTGTCGGTAACAATATGTCATTGATTTCTCAAGGAAAAGAAAACCATCTACCTTGGTAAGGACACACTATACTGATATTTTGTTATTTGAATTTCCCTACAGTCATTTTTGATAAAATTATTTGTGTTTACCGTAACATTAATTATCAGTAATTGTCAAATACAAGTCTAGGAACCAACTGTTAACTTCTAATATTAAACACAGTCTTATTTATATCTTGTTCCCTTAGGTAAAAATACTAGTACAAAAATTTAGATTACCTGATTAAGCTCAGCAAGTCTAGTTGGGTACTGTTACTTTGGTTTGTAGAGAAGCACTGTGGAGATTTTTCATTCCATCTCACATTTCAGAATAATTATAATTTTTAATCTAGCTACTGTTTGAAAAAACCTAAATCCGACATTTGTATAAATTAATATATAAATTAATATATTCTTTCTCCCTGAAGCAACAATTTGTGGAGTTGTCCACCATTCATTACAGCTGAGACATGCAAAAATTAATCAGGTATTACAAGTTGACCTTTAAACAGCAAAGGTCATCAACTCTTGATCTGTTACTGAAAGTTATGTTTTATCCCTTCAGGAAAGGTTAAATATGTCAAAGATCCTTTAGATTAACCATGGTCCAGTTCTATGACAGACTAGGAAATGGTACCGGTATATATGTCACAGATCCTTTGAATTAACCATGGTCCAACTATGTGACAGACCTGGAAATGATAAATATGTCACAGACCATCTGGATTTACCATGGTCCAGTTCTGTGACAAGACTAGAAAAAGGTAAATATGACACAGACCTATTGAATTATTCCTGGTCTAACTATGTCACAGACCTGGAAGGTTAAATATGTCACAAACCATCTGGATTAACCATGGTGCAATTCTATCACTGACCAGGAAAGGTAAATATGTTAGACTATCTGAATTAAATATGGTCCAATTCTGTGAAGGACCAATGAATGCTAAATATGTTTCAGGCCATCTTGTTTATGATGGACCAAATTCTAAAACAGACCAGGAGAGGTCAGATATCTCACAGATCCATCACCCTCTGGATTAATGTTGGACCAATTAGGGAAATAGGTCAATAAATTTTTTCCATAATTTGATTCTGTATACCCAGTTCTATTTCCAGAAATATGTGACATTAATTTTTGCATGTTGTTGGGTTGCAGTCTCACCGTCATAATAGTTCACCTATCTTTTTATTCATATTACACATAAACAACTGTCATGGTGCCATAATAAATTAGGCTAGGCCAGTAAATGCCGATGTTAAATGTTCTTATTCCCCCCCCCAAATCTTTCAGTAATAATCAATGGTTTGAAAGTATCAAGTATCAACATAAAACATATTATAGGTTTAAAAGGTCTTATTTCCTGCTTTAACTTGAAAGTCACACACTACATGTGTCAATATCAATCAAATTCAAAAGACAAATATATCTATGTAAGACCTCTTATACAAAGATGATGATGCGGTCAGATATTTTTTAAATAAGGGAGATTGAATTTGGATTTATTCGAGTAATGTTAATTTGTGGTCAACTGGTAAAATGTGATATGTTTAAAAAGAACATTGTGTCAATTAATTTGTGTCAATAAAATTAACATAGTTTTGAAATGTTTAAAACCGTTTACTATTTCCGCCATTTCAGGGGACTTCTGTTGCTATTGTATGTAAAGCATACATCCGATCTTTACAACTATCATGTTTAATAGACACTGTGTTTAAAAAAATGTCTATCAAACAAATTATTTCTAAAAAAATAACTGGATTCCAAGATATGTTGTAAGAAATACTTACTTTCTATTGGAAAACTCCATATCAAATACTGATTCTAAATAACTTCCTAATTTCCAATTCAGCTGTTTTAATGAATAGACATGTCAGAATTAACTTTTCTTAGTAAAATTTCATTGTAATTGTTTTATGTCCATTGTTTTTTATGGTAATCCCTCAAATATTTAAATGACCCATTAGTAAAAACAGAAATCTAACAAAAGTAAAACCAACTATGTGTGTAATAGTGTGTAAAGAATATAATTCAGTTCATTGTTTAAACATGCTGTTTTAACAAATCCAGCACTTAATTGTTCAATATTTCATTTTTATCCATAAAAGCAAATATTGTAGACCCTGGTCAAACAAAGTCTAGAATATCCAGTAGATAACAAGAATTAAATATATTTCTGCCTATGGATTAGACCATAATGTTCTGGCAACCTTCCTTTGATCAGAAAAGAAAAGATTAAACATTAAATAAATCTAATGTTCTGAGTATACAGCTTTAAGTATGTTATTAACACCAGATTATAGGTCAAAGTTACATCAAAACTCGTATCTTATTTAGGTCAAAACTTTTAATTTTAAAGCTTCTGATAACTTGACCCCATAATTTCTGAAGTATATATTTGTATCTCACTTTCAATATATATACAGCTGGTTTTTTTTTATTTCTGTAATTTCTTTCAGCAATAGTTGCTGTTTTCAAGGAAGCATTAAGTGATGCATATTATCATGGTTCTCTAAAAAATTTTTAATGAGTACTTTTAAATTGATTGTTTATCGTCTCCAATCATTATTACTTCTACTGAATACAAACAGATCAACAATTCCTCAATAAAATTTGTTAAATTTGGTTATCCATACACATATATAATTTGGGGATAGGGTTGATGGCTAACAAACATGTTTGCATGAAACTCTGCAACACTCTTTCTATATTATATCCACGAATTATGCACATCATATGGTAAGCTATGAGGTAATTGTCAAAGCATTAATGAACAATGAAAGAGGTTGCATGATCAAGGAAAGATGGACAGACAGATATCCAAACTGTGTCATAGCTAGTGGTCCTTTTCATCAAATACAGTATACATTTTTTTATCTTTTCATCATTTTCAAAACATCTCTCCTATAAACATTGGCATAATCAACTGTTAAATCTTTAGGTATTTCATCATACGTGCAAGAGCATAATGTCTGACAAAAAACTAATATCCACAACAATGACCGTAAACATTACAAATTTTTAAATCCATCACAAATATTTACTGAACAAAGAGCATTAGTTCAAAGTCATAAATCTCCTGGGTCTCAACATATTAGAAACATCATTTTTGAATGTCTCATTGTAACTTACTTCAGAGTCCTCACAGTGGACAAAAACATTCAACAGACCATAAATACAGCCTTTAACAAGCCATGAAAAAAACACTATCAAACACTCATTACTGGTAAACACTAGGAAAGCAGACCAACAACAGCAATGTGGTCTAAAGTTTCTTTGATAAATAAATTAAACTTTTAAGTTTTAAATTAAATTGTCAGTAAAAAGTATCTTGTATTTTTATTAAAACATATTTCTTTAATCATGAAAATCAATTCCAATATCAATAAAATATTGTCAATTTTTTGATAGCAATGGATTATACCACCTTTGATATCAATGAATAATATCACTACTTAGATAAGGAACTGAAAGATAGTAGAATCAATGCTTAAACACACTGTTACTCATATTACAAAGAAGGTAATATTAAAAAGGTGCCATATTTGGAGAAAATTTAAATATTTTTTTTTGTAACCTACTTTTTCATAATTAGCACTTTCAGTTTCACAGCAATCAAATAGTTTCATTTGCATAAATAAGCACAGGATACAAGCTCATTATAATAATAAATTTGGACTTAACCCAACAAAAATCTACCACACACCACACATGGAACAAAAAAGTAATTTGAATGCATGCTCACTAACATTTCTATTTACTTAAACAGTTGACAATACCAAATATTGAAAATAGATGTGAATCAATTCAAATGCATGGTTCTCACAGGTGTCTAAGATTACAAGTTTGTCTTAAATACAACATACATTATGGCATGAACTTAGAAGATATATTGTAAGGAATTAACTACTATAATAGACAAAACTTTTAAAATAACTTAAATAACCATTACAAATGCATTTTAATAAAGATTTTAAAACAAAAAGGAGGTAAAAAGTTACAAGGCCTGAACATTTCTGTCCATCTGAAAGTAAAATCATGAAGACTATTTCAGAACATTATTAAGTACATGCACCTTGGAACTACACCATGCTGAATTCTAAAATAAAAAGAATTGTCAAAAGTATTTTCAATTCAAATTCATTGAAATTTTTTAAATCAGAAAGTAATATGTACTGCCATTTCACATTGACTCACCTTTAATTTAAATTATTCAATAGTCTCCTAAGAATTCATTCCAATACAGATTTATTAGTATTAAACCTTGTTGATAATCCTGCAGTCAGAGATAATAAATCCAGTTTTTCAGCACAGAAGTTTTCGAAATAATGTTTCTCCAATTAGTAAACCTATGTCACAGTCCTGTTCACCTGAAATCCACGACGATTACCTACGACATCTGATGAATATGACACCTATACACACCCAGGCCAAAACAGGAAATTAAAAATAAGTAAAAATCCAGTCAATTTCAAACTAGCCTTTCTTAAATCTTCTCAACCCTGACATGGTCTTTTGTTGTATTGTTTACAAAAGGCTTTACTCATGAATGGATAGATTTTTGTATTGTCGATATTCCAACTTTTGTGTCGTGTGTAGTAAGCCCTTTCATTCATAGGTTTGTCAAACTTTTAAAGTTTTTGCAAAATCTAATGTTAATATCTATTCATAAGAACTTTATCTACAGATTTTTAAATCAGCTGATTATAAAGTAAATAAGACAATTCTGATCATATCTGGGTTTAAGTGTCCCTTAGCTTTTCATATGTGTAATCCTTTCCAATTATATATTTTTCAATACCATAAAAGGACAATACTGAAGATGACATAGGCTTTATGGTTACATCAGTGATACACTGACAGTTCAGCTTTTTCAAGAACTAAAGGTTTTTAGAAAGCAAACATTGTGTTATCTCTTAATTATCATTATGTCAAACTATAACAGCCCAATATGAAACCAAAACATGCTCATTTACAGTAAGCGATCTCCAGAAAGACATTTCACACCACCCAGAGTCACCTTATTTTTTACTAACCAGTATATACTTGTAAATGGAACATCAGCAAATATCAATTTTAAAGTCTTTTTGTTTTATTAAATAAGACAACTTAACCAATCACTAACTTCACCAGAGGCTGGTGTTCAAAAGATATAATTTGCATTTTTTCTTCAAAATTTATAACTTGAAAAAGAAAAGTAAGCTAAAAGCCCTCAGAAGAATTGATAGTTTTAAGTATACAAGAAACATTTGTGTTATAAATGTCCATAAATAGTAGCTTTCTCTCAAGAAGAATCAATTTCTTTTACTTTGTTGTTTTTTCTTCACTTATTGAACTTTTAATATCTAAAAATAACAACATTAACAGCTGTGTTACTCCCACACCAACAACATATATAGTATCAGTAACCCATGTCACACATACCAACCTTCCAGCTATTAATGTTATATTACTAATTATTAATCAAGGAATGCTAACAAATAGTAATTTTTGCCTTGTGGTCATCTTGTCACATTATAGGTCAAGCAATTTAAACATGGGTAAATAACTGTTATCTCAATCCAAGGGAAATAACTCAAACTTTTTAATTGAACTAAAGGTAACAAGACAGTCAAGAAAAAAAAATGAAATATTATTTCACTTAAAATAAATTGCTATTCCACAAAATCATGACACACCCATCTATGCATTCCATCACAGTAATGACAAAAGTTAAGATTTTTATAATCTAACTGAAATTTGTTGTCATGAACCACAACATTACCTCAAAAATATTTGTAAAAGACCATAACATGATCATGGATGAGCAAAAATGTCTTAGCAAAGTTCAACAACTCTATAATTACAAAGTGAAAATCTTAAAAATGAAAAGGTATCTCAGTTGTCACCATAAAAGACCTCACATTGTGGGAAATATTTCATGTCCATTGCAAAAATATAAAATAAGAGATTATGGATGATTTGGCATAGTCTATATACAAATGAATATATCGAAGTCATAGCAATATCTCTATATTGCTATTTCTTGATTTTGTCAGTATGGAAAAGCTTATAGCAATGATATCAAAACTTACAAATCCACATTGTCACCAACACTGATTAAAGGCTGTATCAACTAAAATATTTAATGGCAGCTTTACATATAATTATCTCAAATCTTCAGTAAACATACAATATTTCAGCTAATCTGACCTCTAATTTACTCTAATTATAGGTGTGCTCTTTTTATCTACTATATTTGTTTAGAGATTATCTATATTATCAGATTTGGTTCAAAATCTCTGTATGGAATATCAATTTTAAGAATGATGATTTTAATAATTTTTTAGTATATAATTAAACTGAAAAAACAAGGTTGCATCTCTCCAAGGCAAAGTCGACTTTAGACTTATGTTCTGTTTATGCCTTTTCTCAGTTTGATGCTAACAAATGTTTTTATGTGATTTCCCAATTTTATTTTAGTCTTGATTGTACCTGTATATTCTAGAAAAGTGTTGTGCACAATGTAATCCATATCATGCATATATTTTAACTTATTGTTTAAAATTGATGTTTTTTTCTTTTTCAAAATATCTATGACATTTAAGTCAGTTAAAATAATTTTTATCTATAAGTATCAAATTTGATGCCTTCTCAGTTACTTAATATAGACTGTACAACTACACTGATCTGGGAAATCCACAAATTAAAACTTTTTCTATATTCTTGCCACAAATCAATCTTTTGACATCTCAATAACCCTCTGTGAAGATAAAACAAATTATTTTTAGTAAATCAATTAATCCAAGAAACTCATACTTAAACCAATACAATATCAGAAAAGAAGCTAATTCCAAATGAGATTGTCTTATTACAGAAGTATTATTACTGATTATATACAACACTACTATATTAAGGGTGATATTAATGTTTCTGTTGGCCGCAGGTCATGCCATGACTGTCATAAAACTGACAAGACCGTCACTTAATGATTAACATGTCTGCCTGTAGCCTAAGTACTTACTTCACACTTCGGTTATCTTACAAAATTAGTTGTTATAATAAAAAAAAAACTTCTGAGTAATGTTTTTATATTAGTACCAGGAGATCCATTCACTATTACACAGGGTATGTTTAAAAAGCAGCTAAAAAATAAATGGTGTATTGACAGATTGTTGTTTGTGCAATGTCCTCCCAATTTTTTTTCTCCATTTTCATGATGATATAGTCACTCACACATATGATGCCTCCTAACTTCTAAATTACAATCCATTTCAATCAAAAGTAATGTAAAATTTGTATTCACTAGTGGATGGACACCTGATTTGCCAAAGGGAAAGTAAAGTAAACCCCTGATTCAGCAATATATGAAAATAACCATTATAAAAATTTCTTATATCCCCCCTAGAGATGGAAAGATATATAAACAGATTACTTCAATCAATAGCAACCAAATGTGTCAAACAATGTTATGTTTTACTTATTTCGCTTATTTGTATTAACTGAAATATTAAAAATGTGTTTTCAACAAGGATTTCAAACATATGAAATATCACATCATCATTCAAAAGACTTTGGTTTATCAGACTGGTTCAATAAAAGGACTTTTATATCCAGAGGGAATACAAATGGGCTATGATTGGACAGCAGTTAACAATTAATTAACAAACAGGTATTGTCTGTGGCTATGTGTCCTCCACTAGATCAATGTCACCAATGTTTGTTAACATAAGTTGACCATAAATATACCATTTCTGTCACTATCTATATCAAAACATTATACCTATGGAATATCTATAAAAATCAATCAATAGTAAATAAAAAAACAAAAAAATAAGTGTAATGCTGTAAAATCTGATGAAGAAATGAATGTCAAAATGGCAGATTTTTTAGTCTGATTACTACATTATTTTGACCTATCACAATTTATGGAAGTCAACCACAACTGTGATATCTAATTATACAGATTTGATCATGTACAAGCTTATAACAACTTTGACATAGGCAATTGTTTCAGTATGCAATGTCTTTGCCAGTAACTGAGGAAAGGTGAATATGTTTTCTGCTCCACTATAAAACCAGGATAGAACAGTTAGAGATGTAAAGATATCAAACCTTATCAGACAAACTGTAGAGCCTTAGTTTAGGATTCTTTGTTAGCCTAGTTAGTAATTCAATAGACCTACCAACCTTTCCAATGTATTTGTGTTCACTTTTCTACACCCTTTTGGGGCCTCTGTGGCGGAGAAGTCTAAGTAAGTCCAACTACTGCATCACTAGCCAGTCAACACTGAGGTTGCAAGTTTGAATCCCACAGGTGGCAGGTGTGTTTGACTCCAATCTCAATTGACTAGTATTGTCAGTTTTTTCTACTGAAAGCTGGTGGTTTTCTCCAGAGACTTCTGCTTCTGCCACCAATAAAATCAGACCGCCACTTAACACCACAATAATGCTGAAAGTGGCATTAAACACCAATCTATCAATCAATCATCACGCTTTTATTTTTCTTCAGTTTACCTTTTCCAAAATTTATCTCTTCTATGCTTTTAACATAGTATTTGATATATGGTGATAATATTAATAACCTTACATGTATATAAATATTACATTAAAATATTTCTTAAATATATTGATATTATATAGAATTACAATAATATCTATTGAAAGGTCTACATACCTTTCACAGGTACTAAGCAGATAGCTGGTGACATTCCACACATCAATTGATTTTTAAACAAATACAGTTTGCTGCCTTATCTTGATACAATATTAATTCTGTATAACTTGAGTGAAAGTTTTTGGACCAAGTACAGACTAAGGGAGCTGCTGATATCTTATTCGTTGAATGGTTCTTAAGTTCAAAAGAAACATTATCAGCTATTTTTTTTTTCAAAATGAAATAAGTACTCACTCACTCACAGCGACAGGAGATTCCTTTGTACTTTTACTAATCTATACTGAAAGTCCAAATGGCCTTGCAAGACTTATGTGTCAAGTAAACAAAAGTTATACTAGAGCAAGTTCTTTTCAAGTGCAAGATGTATTTACCCTAAATATTTTAAGCAGGATTTTTTCTATTTATCTGGTTCTCTTTTGTGCTCTTATATCTTCACGCAAATAGTTTGATTTTAGCTCATTATATTCATGCTTTAAAGCAAAGCACATCCTAAAGTTATGTGTAAAAAAAATTCGTAAGGGTTCCGCGGAACCCAGTGTCTCGCCTACTTTTTCTGTTAGTCACAGGCTCAACAAAAATGAGGAAGTAAATCAATAAAAATATTCCTCTTGATACTATCTTTTGATTGTAAGAAGCTTCTGTCCAAGTTTGGTAAAAATCCAGGATAGTTTATGAATCTAATAAATGTTTAAAAACTTTAACTGCAGACTGAATGTAATGTTAACTGGAAGAAAACAAAAATTTCCTTCTAGATACTAGCATTTGATCATAAACAAGCTTCTGTCCAAGTTTGGTACAAATCAAAAATAGTATAAGAAAGTTATTAAAATTTT